GTGAAAGTGTTGATGGCTCCACTATGAATGGCGGTCAGTGCGTATGCTAAGTTAGTTGCATCCGAAGTCTGGTCGACGTACTGTACGATGTCGTCAATGTAATGTAAAAAAAAAAAAAACACTAGTTGTACTCAGGAGGGGTCTCCGTTTCAGGCAGATGACTGCAGGGATGATTTCTGTGAAACTGCCATGTAAATAAACGGGAAAAATTAAGAGGCATCTTATAATCGTTCGGTGTTTAGTATTTTGACACGTCTCAAGCTTTCTTATCTGCGTTTTACTGCATATTGGCGACCATATCGGTGGAGCATAGTTTATAGCCCGAAGGTCGATTGCTTTGTATAGTATGKTGCCMCCATCGTTTCTTTGACATATCGCCATTTGCTGCWAGTTAGCGACTTGCGGATTTTGTTGCAGCTTTGTAACAGAGGCCGCATGAGGTGCAAAGGACACAGACTCTCGAGTGTAACACCTAAAATCTTAGGATTGTTAACAATCGGAACTTTTAASACCATCGATAGTGATATTAAGATCCAGTCTGTACTCCTTCGTTCAGATAGCGGCTGCGGTCGCTGGGATTTTAGTGGGTGAGAGTGTCAAGCCCGTAACAGAGAAGAACCGATAAAGATCGGCGATATAGTTGTTTGCTATAAAATCTCTATTAAAATGTATATGGTATAAATAATCAGCATAATGGGTCGACTTCGCCATGCCGGTCTGTCAGTTTGTCTGTTCCCCCTGCGGGTAGGGGGGACCCCTCCAGGTTGGGGGGGAAACCGAATATACCCGTGGTAAGGCATGCCTGTCGTAAGAGGCGACTAAAATCCCGCATGCACTGTGTCTGTCATTCTGGGCTTGCCTTGAATTTCAGCATAGTCCATGTCAGATATAGTGCTATAGTATTCATCGTAAAATATGGTTACTGTACTCTGTATTTTTTATTCCTGGTATTCGACCGTGTTTTCGTTTACGATTTCATTTACGAAGGGTTTTACGAGACACATGTCAACATACAGTTGAGTTCTTAAGGGTTCTAAGGAATTCTTGGGGGCTCAACTGGCTGCAGCGCAAGCTACAGGTCACACCAAAGACTAAAACATGGTACCACGGGGAGCAGTCAGCCCTTGGAGGGAACTCTAATCTGCTCATTGGGTTTTTGGCCCCTTGGGGAGATTCATGGTGGCTGTGGTTTAAACCTAAATGCAGGAAGGGCATTAGTCCGGTGTGGAGTCGCATTGCGGCCGGGTGCCGGACCCAGAGTACGGCACAGGTTTTAGGTCGGCCTCGAACCCGACCAAGGCGGCTTAGGGAGTCCCACCCTAACCAATTGGAACCAAAGTATAAGTGTATGTGCAGCACTCATACTTTGGGTTCTCCAGAGTATGATGCAGGTGCATGCATTCGTGCTTTGGAGCGCTGATCAATGCATTGTTTTGATCTATGTGCTTCTAGCAATAGAAAGCACCGTGAGGTTTGGCCTTCGCAGGCAGGAACTCACGTAAGACCACAACGGACTCTGTCAGTCTGTCTGTCTGTATGTATGAGATATAGTCATTTAGTTTTKGAGTTATCGACCTGCAATTTTCCATCTCTCCTTTTCTCACCAAGAAGCTGCTCATTTGTCGAAACTGTTGATTTCGGAMAATTATAGCATATAGCTGCCATACAAACGGTGTAATCGGAATCAAGTGCTAGTTTGGAAAATTTCTTCGTTTAACAAGATATCTTCACGAAATTTGAAAGTTGGCATGACTTATTGGCTAAGGCAATAATGTAATCTCCGATCCGGTTTACTATAGCATACTGTTGTCAAAGAAACTGAACGAACGGGATCAATTTCAACGAATCTGTTGCATTTGTGAAGGGTATTCTAGCAAACTCGAAACTAATATTCTTTCTTCTTTTAAATAAGCATTTTATTTACATAAAAAAAAAAAATTAAAATAAAAAAAATGCATCAGTGTATATTTTATCTCGCGAAATTTTATATCAGCCTTCATCCAAACAAATTCATTTTTTAGTGCGCATGTGTGTGACTGCGTGTATTGGCAAAGGGCATATTGATTTTGCAATTATGCTTCGACGGCTTTCCTTTTTCAGCAGCTATAATTGGTTAAATTACCGAACCATTTCATGATTTCTCCTTGCCTTACTCTCTTCGCTGCGAGTTTTGGGTAGCATTGATTTTGCGGGGTACCATCCAGGCATAGCTGCTATTCTGCGCTGATTTCCGACAAATTTCCTTTCAATTAAAGCCAACGCATTTTTATTCAGCTCGGCACGGAATTGTTTGAATAAGCGATAAATTATAGCGGTAACAAGAAAATATAAGTAAAAATATGCCTCGCTGAGGTACAGAAAATGCCGGGGCTCACTAAATTACGTTTGCTTGAAAGCCCACGAGTTACTTTATATCCTGACGACGGCGTCGCCTTTAAAATAGTTTTTTTGTTTTTTTTTTTTTCATTTTAATCAATATTTCTGTTCCCCAAATAGCACGTGTTGTTGTCTGGTTCCGACCGGATATACAAATTTTCAGCTTACTGGGTTACATTCTAATTAAATGATGGTGTTAAATTTTATAAAAATTGTGGGCATACACGAAGCGTAGGAGTCAGAGTCTAAATATTTTGCTAGCAGAAGTTTAGTTTCACTTGYCAATTATTAAAATTATTGAGGCGGAAACCGAATTAACTGTTAATGCTTTATATACGCTCTCTCTCTGCTTTCTCTTTAGGCTATACTTTGCTGTTATTTTCTATCATAGGTATGCTTTACAGTTATGATATTTTGTGTACCGTTTTCCTTGAATTTGAAATATGAATATCGAAATTACTTTACTCCCACGAGCGTAGACGTTATCTCAGCTCAATTCAGTTCACCCCGCTGGCTAAGGCGGTTTGCGTACACCTCTGTGTGCCAGTCACTAAAATTCCTCTCCTTAGATCCATCAAYGTTGAGGCTGTGGTTGCCCTGTGTCTCTTGACATTTGTGAAACGCTAATTTGTGGGCGAAACTCCCAGCTGATGGGGTATGCTAATTTAGTAAAATCAGCTTCAAGTCAAGCATATTTTCGTGGAAAATATACTTGCCTCTTGCCTCAATGACTTCTTAAATACATCAAATTTCTGATGCGCAACAACCATAGCTAGCGCAATATTGTTGCGGGTCTATTTTTCCTCGAAGCATTGCCGCAGCTGCTTGTCTCCGCTGAGTTTTGGTTAGTGTCTTTYATCGAAATTTTTGGTTTTTAAGAAAATGCTCTTCAGTTTTTAAAGCTTGTGGCTTTAGTGGTTTAAGTGAGTTCTGTCATTTAATTTTACAGTTTTATTTCTTCTCGCACATATGGGTATATGTTAATTGCTATCGCTAAAGGTGGAGTGCCTTTGGCAGAAAACACTACTCGCTCTTGTGGGAGTAGTTTGATTATAAAAAGCCGCCGTCGTTCGCCTTCTCAATATTACGTTGTGACATTTCTCTTTGGGTTGCTTGTGAATGCCAATTGTCTTGTCAAGTGAATATTTGTGATCGTATAAGAAAATGAAATATTAATTGCGGAAAATCGTTTTAATGTTTTACAAAATATTCTCCACTGTGAACCAATTGTCAAAGCACTTTCGCCACTCTGATCGAGGTAACTGAAAAACATGCATTCGGTACGCATCAACTGCCACTTTAGGTGTCGAAAAAAGTAGATCTATAAGTTCATTTTATGCGTATGGGAATAAGAAGCAGTCATTCGGAAGACATTCAAGTCAGTGTTTTCAATGCTCGAAAGTTGGTTTCAATCGAGATCATTATTTGTAAACGTGGATGCAATGGCCTTTATTTTGCGTCTGCAGACTGCTATGTAATCAATTAGCAGGTGTTTTGGAGGGCTCTCTGCGGCAGAACGGACAATTTGCGCAAAAAACTAGAACCATGTTATATTAGTGCTTTTTGAGCTTACAGTGCCCAGTGTAGAATGCGACAAGTAGCCGGAGTTTATCCATAGAGAGTTTGATTACATATAATATTTAAACCTGCTGAGATTATAACCCCGCTTAGATACCAAATGAATACCATACCATCATGCAGGGCTTGGAGTTGTTGTCGATATCTTCTTCAGCCTATTGATTCTTCCTCGCGGAGCATCTCTTCTATTGTATGAGGACTCTCGCCGAGCGGCCGAGCTCATTAGCGAGATCATTTCCAGATATACCTTTGTGACTGGGCACCCAGATGAGGTGCACTTGGTTACGCTTCGATAGGCTATCATTCCTGCAGCAGTAGCGGTTTGAAGTCGTAGTTAGATATTGCTTTAAGTGCCGCTGAACTGACTGGGGTGAATAAATATTTTTTTGGAGTCAAATGTTCAATGCAGTATTGAATGTATGTATGCTTCTCGCACTAGTTTATCAACTGATTTTGTACTACCTTCATGAAATTCGTCTTGGAGAGATGTATTATTTATTGTTGGAGCTTCATCGCCAAAAATTGAATTAAGTTAATCGATGCACTATTGCTGAATTAATCCACGTCGAAAATTGTAAAAAATAATTGCACGAAAATTTTCGCAATTAATTTTTTATACCGAGATGAATATTTAAAGTTACTGTCAGAACGTACTGCGTATGTATAACATCGAAAATGTCAAACATTACGATAGAGTTGTGAGCTGTCAGACTGCATTACTAGAGTTGCCCAATTTCGAAAGGTAACCTATGTATAGGTTATTTTTGTGCATGTATATAATAAATAATAACATTACGATGCCTTTCAGTACGTGCTGTTAAGCTATAATATAACACAACTACCATAGCAACTTTAAATGGACTTGAGCGCAAAAAAATGATATATGGCTAAAAATAAAATGTTTAATTAAAAGACAGATAGACATCGCAACCACTGCTGCTTTTACCTTCCATGTCAGTGATTTCGCATAACATATAGATAAAAAAAAATAAAATAAATCTTGCTGGTCTCTCAAACACAGCATTAAGCTGGTTGTGTGTACTTACCGTGTAGAAGATCTCATTGAGATGATAATTGTAGGCATTCCGTACGTAAGTGCGAATAATCTTATCGCGCCGTTCGCCCTCAAAGCCGTTCTGGATGTCGTGTGCGCTGAAACGCCATATGGACTCGCCGGTCACCACGCCGAAGAGCACATCATAGTGCGCGCCATTGCCGCCCAAACCGAGGTTAGCGCCGCTGCTCATGCTCGCGTAGTTCGCCGTTAACGCGCTGTAGTAAACGCCACCTGCAGAACCGCCGCCGCYATTGGCGCTGCCTCCACCGGCAGAAGCGCCGCCACCGCCACCACCAAAGCTGCTGCCACCGCCGCCGGGGCCACCTGTGTAAGCGCCGCCACCAAAGAAGCCGTTGCCATTGCCGCCGACGCCATCTGCTGAGGCGCGCTTGGCGCTGCGCATCATTAAATCATCGATATCGAAATTGGAGTGTCCGGGTCGTATAACGACGCCATCAACCTAAATTGAAAATGGAAAAAGCGGTGAAACGTGGAGGCAATGTAAGTCTCTGGCTATATGTCAGTTTGGCGAAAGCAGTTTGCTAAAGAAATGCGTAAATAGTAACTTGATATTGCAGAAGCTTGATTGTCGGTGCAGACTTTTTCTCAACTATTTTTAGTATGATTGCTTTGCGCTGGCTCTTGCGTGCGTGTGCGGGCTTTAGGCGTAGGCATAAAAATGAGTGATAGCCTTGGCGAAAGCAACCGACAAAAACGAACAGCAGCACAACTGTCGTATAAATGTAGAAAATGAAATTGAGCAATAAAGTCAGCCGCACACAGACAACACGCGGTGTAGAATACCGTTATTGCTACAACAATAACAAGCGAATGTCTCGTGTTAGAGACAAGAGGCATATTTTGTAGGTTAGGTGTCTGAGGAATGTTCTTTCACACAAAAAATAATATTATGGGTGATGCTATCGCAGAGCACAACAAGAGGAAGTGCGAACATAAATAAAGAAATATAAATGTTTTTATATGAAAAGGTTGGCAACGTTGCACTTAATAGAGGTGCTTTGTCCAACCTCTTGCATTAGTATATATATTTATTTCTTTTTCTCGTCTCTACATTAGTAGTCTTAGTGTTTTTTTTTTCGGAAAATGCTCATGGAAACGCTATAGTGAAAATAATTCGACGCGCCGTCAAGTGATAAGGCGAAAATGTCGCCAGGCGCAGACAAAAAGGAAATGAAGGACACAAAACAACAAATCATCGAACCACTGACATGTCCAAATTTTTTTTTTGTTGTCGCAAGTAATGAATGTTTTAATAGACACCGCCATAAAAAAAAGAACTAATAAAAAATTCGATGTTTAGTACCAGCATGAAAAGAGATCTGGAATATTTTTTGTTTCAATTGTGTAAAATGAAAAAGTTATGGAAACGAAATAGCATTTCAATGGATCTAGATACACTGTAGGATCAAGTAAGAATTCAGTCCACATTTCAATTCTATATGCTAATATGTTGAGATCTTTGATATTGCGAAAGTCGCGGAGCTGGCCTCTAATGCAACTGCAGGCAGTAACCTCGTCTCATATCGCATCGGCCATAATTGTCTTGGGAAGTAGAGTAACAGTGGATGCCAGGTCACAAGGGCATCGAGTCCAATGAAATATTGGGCGGGATTGCCAAGATGGTGTACGAACGAAAACATGGTCAACATTGAGAAACCTACACATTGTCTTTAGGACGATCTCAACAGAGGCATGGAAGCATCAAAACTCGATGGGTGCAAGACCGCACAGGTCATGTSCACAATGTTAGATCGGGAGTACACAGAATTCCTATTAGCACTCGATAGAAGAGACTATAGGAATATGCTGGGAGTACTAGCTGGTCAGTGTGTGGAGTAGAGCACAAGGAAAACAATATAGCTGCTTTTGTACTCTTATCCCTCACACAATCTGGAGACCCCACGGTATGATACATTGGCAAAAGTATCGATAGTAAGGCCACAGTTAATGTTCGCGTCAAGCGCAGGCATTCTAAAGGATAACTACATCTCTTGAACCTAACAACTGAACTCCATTTGGTAACGGCAGCCAGAAAGCTCAAGTCAGATAGTCTGTTGGTAGCCAAAATATTGGAGAGCTGTGGCTGAGCAGGAATTTGAGGGGCATGCTAGCGCACTTGAGTGGACCAAAAGCTCGCTAAGCATGGTGAACGGAGGAAAATCGGAGATAAATGAACCCCAATTTTCGATCAAGCGGCAGAGGTCGCAAGAAGCGGAAGGCTTCCACGGCAGGACTCGGCTACAGGTCGGTGAGGAATCGAAGTCTTGGGAAATTGCTAAATCTCCGCTGAGACTGGCGTGTGCAAGCGTAGCAGAGAAAATAGAGGCAGCTGTTTGGGCTGTTTTTCTAAGGGCTGTCTGGGGACATCCGTGCCATCGCCTAGGTGCGGGTCGCAGCTGGGGGCACCACGGTATGCACGAATAAGATGTACCGACGCACATACACATTCACAGACCTGATTTTTTTTGGAACGGTTCAGAATAAAGGTCTTTCAATCTTTCTGCCAATCTTTTTAATAATTAATTAATAATTCAGCCGAAAGCCTCTGCTGCTAGCGCTGCGTTTGCTTTAGTTTAATTATTATGTAAGCTTTGTATAAATAAATAAATAAAAATAAATTAATAATCAGAGGGAAAAACTACTTTCAAAATTATATTCTATCAGAAAAGTTGTGTTGCAAACTATCCTAACAAGACATACAAGTTCAACTTACATTAGAAAAGTAAATTTTCAGCTTAAATATAAGCGAATAGTTTTAAACACCTACCCACCCTTGCTTTTAAATTTATCTGTACTCTCGTATTTAAAATTGATTTCAACAAAAAGTAGTATCAAAATACATATGTATTACATGCACTTTTTCATTTCCCCTCCGACCTTTTGCTTAATGTCTCGACGTCAACCATATTTTTCCGGAAACTGCGACCCTAACCCAAGAAAAGTTTGCATTTTTTCTTTGTTGCCATGGCCTTTGCTCACTTCCACACACATTCGCACATACCTAGGTGTCTATGCAAAATGTGCACCTCGAAATGCTCTCCGCATCGAACACTTTATTTTTTATACGTTATCGCCCTCACTATCGCGCTCTGCATCTTGTGCCTTTTGTTGGAGTTCAGTATATACATTTTAGACAATTTTCATATACTATTATCGCTTAACGTCAACACTAAAAGGTCGTCAATTTTGAAAGCTGTCATTTACACGCATACACACTCAACCCAGCCAAGGGCACTTGGCCTTTCGTGGGCMCAGGATGTGAGTGGAAATTCGTCGGGTTTTGTTGCTTTTAGTTCGCTTTTTAACCTTTGGCAATGATGACTTGCTTTGATATGGTGTTTTTCGTTTCATTTTAAATTTAAGTATGTACTCGAGCATTGCTACTATACATACATATACATGAGAGTATATAAATAGACTGCTGCCTGACTTTCCTTCCACATGTGGCTTTGCTTACGACCCTTGACCTCAATTTGGCTCTCATGTTGAAAAAACTAAACTATTAATTGATTGTATTTATTATGGACAAGTTCAAGTATTTTGAATGGCTTATGATTTKTTAGCTTGTTTTCTGAATCTGATACTCTTAGTTTCCTTTTTATTGTAATGTAGATGTTTATATTGTCCCCTGATAGAAATATTGCAAATAATTGAGTTTGAAACACATTTGTTATTTTCAATTTTTTTTTATATTTCGGATAAAATATTTCATCACATTTTTTTTAAAATTATAAGACACTTCTTTTGGTTTTCAATTCCGAAATTTTGCAAATTTTCTT